AGGCCCATGCACGCCATCATGGCTCCAGCCCGAATGCCTGTGTGCAGGCTTAGCTCATCCTTTTTGAAAGGAGCAGACAAGTTGTAAACAACACGATCCCAGTGTTGAATTCCACAAGGACAGACAGCGCCCACTCGGTCAGCAGAGAAAGTCCGTGAACGTCAGCGGGAATCAGGTGTGATGTGGGCCGGCATGGCGGGGGGTTGAGGTCCTAGATGAGTGACCAGCATCTCCTCATATCTGTTCCCTGTGAGTCCAGAGCAGAGGCCAGCAACTTCTCTGTCAGCGGGCAGAAGTAAGTTATTGTTTAGCACCTGCACCCTGAGTATGTGCCCTGGCCGGGAATCAAACCGGCGACCTCTCGCTGCTGGGACAACGCTCAACGACTGAGCCACACTGGCCAGGGCAGACGTTGTTGTCTCTGCCGGTTCCTGGTCACTATTCCAGCTACGCAGCTGTGCCACTTTGTGGATATGTCTGTGTTCCAATAAAACTATACATGGACACGACGTTTGGATTTCATGTAACTTTCACATCGTGAAACATGTCTTCTTTTGATTTTTTTTCAGCCATATAAAGATGTAAAAACTACACTTAGTCATGCGTTGCACAGAGCCAAGAGCCAGTCCAGATTTTGGCCCCTAGACCATAGTTTGCTGACCCTTTTCTAAAGGTCTTACAAATAACTTCTATAAAGTTCTGAATTTGAGGACATTTTCTTTAACAAGCAGCCTATAGCACTGAATGTGTGTCATGCACTGTGTTAAATGTCTTATAGATGTTAGCTAATTTCATCCTCAGAATAACCCCCGAGAGAAGGGTTATTGACCTCATTTTGCAAATGTGTATATTGAGGCACAGAGAGGTTAAATAACTAGCCCAGGGTCACAGGTCGCAGATGCCAGAACCCGGGTTCGAACCCAGGTAAGTTGGCTCCCCAGTATCTGTTCTTTCTACCAGGACATGGGATCTCCCTTAAACATTTACAATGATTGACTGCTCACCGAAAGGAATTTTAGAGATGAATTCATCCCTACTACAGCTCCGTCACAGACTCATTCTTACACACCAGCTTCACAGCCTTTATGACTCAAACGTGTGCTCAGTCATATTACGGATGACTCCTTGTGCACAGGCCGGCACTGAGCTGCTCACTTCCTGTTTGATGTGTGTTCACAGCTCCTTGAAGGCAGGGGCAGCAGCATCGAAATGTTCCATCAAGAAGAAATCTGGTCGGCACCTCTGCTTTCTTTGGGAACACCTGTCTCAGGTGACTCCCAGCTCAGATTTGGCCCTGCTGCTTTTCTGCATGAAGGAGCAGCGGTTGAATCTTGAGCCACACTTGGCCTGTGATAGGAAACAGAATTTGTGGTGTCATGCTACACCATCCCTGTTGACCCAGAGATACCACCAGGGCAGTTTCCCAGGCTTTCCAAGGAAGAATGGGAAGGGGTGTGTGTGTGTGTGTGTGTGTGTGTGTGTGAGAGAGAGAGAACATGTCAGAGGTTAGGTAGACAGGAAGGTGCTCAGGACTTCTGGGACCCTTTGCCTAGTTACAGTCTAAGACCCTACTCGCTATTTACCTTTGTGTGCCACAGGGGTCCCGCACAGTCATTGCCAGGCACCCCCAAGTCCACGTGTGCACTGCAGATCTTTTACTTGTGTATAGTTACTCTTCCAATGATGTAGATGTCATCAAATCAAGGAAAAGCTCACCCGGCCGGTGTGGCTCAGTGGTTGAGCGTCAACTTATGAACCTGGAGGTCACGGTTCAATTCTGGTCAGGGCACATGTCTGCATTATGGGCTCCATCCCCAGTGTGGGGCGTGCAGGAGGCAGCTGATCAATGATTCTCTCTCATCATTTATGTTTCTCTCTCTCTCTCTTTCTCTCTCTCTCTCTCTCTCTCTCTCTCTCTCTCTCTCCCTCCCCTCTTAAAAATGTATTTTTAAAAAGAAAGACAACTATGTATATAAAAAAGGGAAAAGCTCTCCTGAATTCGTGTTAAGCTGTCATAAGCACAACTACCACCTGTTGAGAAGCCACATCCAGTCAAGACCCTCATGTGCAGAGGAGAACACTGAGGCTCGGGGTTAAGGGGAGAGATTTCTCCATTGCAGCAGGGAACGGTGGTGTGGGAGCTGGCTCATTTGCATGTGCCATGACCTCATGCTGTGTCCCCCTGGGGCGGTCACAGAGGGAGAGATTGGCACGTATTTTGACAATTAATACTATGCTGTACTTTCTAATATTGCCTAATAGGGTGATTTATTATAATAATGTTTACCAGTATTTATAATGCTTCTCAAGAATCAATTAATTGATTGATTACTATATTGCTTGCCCTGCCCCTGTAAGTAAAATCCTGTATTCCAACCTGGAAACCTGAAGCATGGTGAAATTGGGCAACTTGCTTATGTCTGGAACAGAGCTGGCCCTAAAACCCCTGAGTTTTTATCTCTGGGTCCGGTTCTGTTAAGCAGACTGAACTGTGAGGATTTAGTTGTTTCTGCCTTAGTCCTCTATAGCATTCGCCCTCAGCTGGGTGCAACGGAGCTTTTTTAACCCTCACCCGAAGATATGTTTATTTTATTTTATTTTTCACATAATAACTATTTAACTTTTGGGCAAGTTAACCTAACTTCTAAATCTTGCTTTACTGGAATTCGTAGCAGAGGACTAAAATGAGAAAATATAATGGGAACTCAATAAATGATCATCTCATTTTTCTTAAGTGACATTTTAAAAAACTGAGATTATAAATGAGGGTATTTGGTGTTTTTAAAGCTTTTCACGAAAGCGTAAGAGCCCAGGACTGTAGAATTGGAAGGTCCCTTCATAGTCCTAGATCCAGTGAAGGACTCCCTCGAACACGCTTATTCTTTCAGCTAAAATCCGCTTTCTTCTGGGCCTGCCCTCCTTCGTGTGATAGGATTCTAGGGTTTGAGACAGCTCTTGGGCCCCGACTCCGAAATTATCTTTTCCAGACCAACTCTCCTTACTATTCCTAATAAGACGAATCGTTTTCCCTTTCCCGTCGTGGTCTCCCTTCCAGATAGAGACAGACTTGAGCTGAACACGGATGAGCTGTAATCTGCGAGCCTCTCCCCAGGCAGCTGTCTTCTTTCTAGCTGAGCTCTTTTGGAAATCAGGTCGCCCAGTCAGACAGCCATGCAGCTTGTCCTCTGTGTTTTCCCACTTTCTAGACGGAAAATAAATACATTGCAGTTGAACACGGCAGATTGAACACACATTTTAACATCCATTCCCTCCTGTGATATCATTAAAATGATAATAAAGGGAGAAAAGATATCGGCAAATGAGCAATTGATGGCATGTTAAAGGCAAAAAGCATGTGTGACGAACTCAGTGGGCCAGAGGAACCGAAAGGGCCTGCTGGGCAGAAACTAAGAAGAGAGAGGATTTGTAACGCGGAACCTGGAACAGCGCCAATACTGAAAACAGGAAGATCAGTTGAAAGTGTGTGCGAAAAGCAATTAGATGCCTACAGTCCCTCCCCATCCTCTCGGGGCAGGGCTTCCAGTCTTAGGTGTTGAAACGGAGGCACATGAAGCACACAAGACGGGATGGCCTGGAGCAGAACTGACAATCAGGCCTCAGACTGAGTCCTACGCAGTGAAGGCAGGACCACCCCTCACCAGTTGCCAGGGTACCTGCACGCAGTCACTCGCCGCACAAGACGGGTCCCCCTCTGAGAGCGCTGACGACGCCTGCTTCTAGGGTCCCCAGTGAAAATGGCCGGTCTTCATCTGTCACCCCAATGTGACGCCCGCGCTTGACAAGCCTAGGCCACCCACACACACTCACACACACACACACACACACTCACACTCACACTCACAACTCAGCTTTCAAACAGCTTCTGAAAGTATGAGCAGTTGACCAACATCACCAGACGCTGAGAGCAAGCCTCTCGCAGAACAGACAGGCCAGAACAATGGGGGACGGAAACGTCGAAGGAACCGTGGAAGCAGGGAGGAAGAGGAGACAGTTCACTCTGGGATCTTGAGCGATTAGAGAAGTATTACATCATGAAATGTGGACAACATATTCTTAAAAAGGAAAAGAAACCTTCAGGGAGCCTCTTGGAGGTTGAAAATGCGATGGCCAGAATTTGGTTCAGAAGCGTGTGAGTCACACAGTTTGCAGGACACCCTGCTTAGAGCCTCCGCCAGAGCGGCCACCGGCGAGGAGGTAACGGAGGGGGCACCCCAGGGGGACAGATGGGCTCCAGCCGGAATCCTTGGGTGGAGGGGACACAGGTGAGAGCCAGGCTCGTGGGAAGCTGGTGAAGGCAGGGGGTGGGTGCTGAAGAGCAGCAGTGCTGCGTGGGACTGTGGGTGCAGTGGGGCTGTTCACGGCGCCTATGAAGGCGTCCTCTGGGCAGGTCGCTGGCAAGCACTTTAGAACTCCCTGGGCTGTGGACGCCGCCCTGAGAGTTCGCCCTGTGGCTGAACACCTGGGCCACACAGCTCCAGCCCAGCGCTGCTGCCAGGCTCAGTCCCTCTGGGCTCCGCGTGGTCTACCACAGGCTGGTTCGTACCCAAGGACGCCCCAGCTTTTGCACCCACTGCGCCTCCTCTGTCCTTGATCCCACATGTGCCTCTATTCACGTTTGGTCTCTTCCTGTCACTGAGTACTTACTCTTGAGGAGCCTGCTGCTAGGGGCGTCAGGGTTCTTGGCCAGTGTCAGGGAAGTCAGGTGCGTCGGGAGGGGTGCGGTGGAGACGCATGTGAGTGAAGCGGCGGCGAGAAGCCCTCGGGCTCGCATGTTTGATGAGTTTGTGAGATGAGCTGTTGACATGTCCATAACTGAGGGCACTGAGTGGGGACTCGCGGGTCTCCATGATGAGCCGTGGCCGTCACGAGGTGGATGCCTTCGCTGCCATCCCGGCGGGGGCAGGGGCAACGTGGAAGGGCATGTTGGGTCTTTGTATTTGCCTTCCTCCCTATCTCTCTGTGTTTTACTTCGCCCGCAGATTGGGGACCACAAATTCAGCGCTCACCGAATCGTCTTAGCAGCCTCCATCCCGTACTTCCACGCGATGTTCACCAATGACATGATGGAGTGCAAGCAGGATGAGATTGTGATGCAGGGAATGGACCCCAGGTACCACGCTCCTCTGCCAGGCCTCCCAGCTGCTTCCCTGCGCAGTCCTGCCGGTGCTGGTGCCCGGTGCCCCCCGGGGCCCGCGGCAGGACACGGCGTCTCCAGCACCGCCCAGTGCACGCTCCGCTCTGTGCGTGGCACTCCGCCCGGGGCCTGAGACAGGATGAAAGTGGGGCCTCTGCTGTGTTGTGCTCTGTTAGAATGCACATTTAATAGGCAGTAGAGTACAAGATATATTTTTTGTCTGGGACGGGTACAAAGGTGGGTTTGTAATTCTCGTGCACTTCTCTGTGCCAGCCGTGTGAGCTGGCACACTTTCCAAGAGCCCGTCCTCGGTCTGCAGCAGTGCCGCCCCTCAGCACTTCCCGCAGTGACGGGACTGTCCTGCCGTCCTTGCCGGACGGGAGCCACGAGCCACGTGAGCACTTGAGTGGGACTACTGGGACGGGAGAACTGAATTCTAAATTGTATTTCATTTCAGTTCGTTTAAAAGTAATTTTAAATACCTGCGTGTAGCTGGTATTATTTGGAGCAACAGGTCAGGAAGGGGGCAGAGATCGTAGCTATTTGATGGATGAGAATACTGAAGCCCGAGGATGTCAGGCTCAAACGCAGCCCCCCAAACATCTCCATCCGAGAGGCCGCATAGCGTAGCGGGGAGAAGTTCTCCCCTAGAGGGACCTGGGGCAGGCGCAGTCCAGCACCCCGAGACCACATCGCTCAGGGGCTTATTTGAAGTTGTCCTCACATCTGGAGTCACTTAGCACTGGACACGCTTCATGGAAATACTCCTGGGTTTCTGTCTAAAGACTTTATATAAACACTAGAGGCCCAGTGCACGAACTCGTGCACCAGTGGGGTCCCTCGGCCTGGCCTGCGGGATGGGGCCGAAACCAGCTCTCCAGCACCCCCTGAGGGGTCCTGGATTGCGAGAGGGCGCAGGGCAGGCCAAGGGACCCCACCTGTGCATGATCCGGGCTGGGGAGAGACGCAGGAGGTTGGCCTGCAGGGAGGGACTGCAAGAGGGCTCCAGGATGTGTCCACCGGTCTCAGTCCCAATCAACCGGACCCCAGCAGCAAGCTAAGCTAACCTACCGGTCAGAGCATCTGCCCCCTGGTGGTCAGTGCACATCATAGTGAACGGTTGAACAGGCTTAGCATATCATTAGCATATTGCACTTTGGTCGAACAGACAACTGGACACTTAGCATATTAGGCTTTTATTATATAGGATTATATAGGATGTTCCATAGTATGCCTTTTTGGGCCTTGAAAGGAAAAAGGCATGTTTATGTCACTAAAAAGATTTGCTGCAGATCTATGAATTGAGGCTGTGTGTGTAACCTGGGCTGTATCCCGGGGTGCCCTGCACACCTACTGTGTGCCTGTCATTGACCTGGGGTCTGGGGATGCAGCAGCAGGCACGACGCACAAGGTGGCACAGGGTGAGGACGTTCTCGTGAGAAGAGACAATGAATGACCAGTGACTCTAACACTGGCTAGTGGCCTGCCATTGCTGCCTCCCCTCACGATGTGAAAATACAAGGGAGAGGGCTGCGAACCTGTGGCACCCTCTGGTGATTGAGGGTATCAGCCCCAGGGCACGGGGAGGATTTATAACCACGCATGCAGACGGCTCAGGCCGGGGACTTGGAGGAAGCACACAGAAGTGGGTTTCAGGGCAGTTGTACTCTCTTCTCCAAGGTCTGTGTCTGCAGGAGCCGTGCTAATCGCCAAGCACAGTGCAGGCCGCCAAGAGCCTGTGTGTGTGTGAGGCTGCCTGAGGGGTGACACGGAAGCACCTCTCCTGCACTGACTCCAGTGGAAGAATCTGGTGATAGACAGGTACACGTGTGAGCTGGTGATAGGTACACGTATGAGCTGGTGATAGGTACACGCGTGAGCTGGTGATAGGTACACGCGTGAGCTGGTGATGGGTACACACGTGAGCTGGTGATAGGTACACGCGTGAGCTGGTGATAGGTACACGTGTGAGCTGGTGATAGGTACACGTGTGAGCTGGTGATAGGTACACGTGTGAGCTGGTGATAGGTACACGTGTGAGCTGGTGATAGGTACACGTGTGAGCTGGTGATAGGTACACGTGTGAGCTGGTGATAGGTACACGTGTGAGCTGGTGATAGGTACACGTGTGAGCTGGTGATAGGTACACGTGTGAGCTGGTGATAGGTACACGCGTGAGCTGGTGATAGGTACACGTGTGAGCTGATGATAGGTACACGTGTGAGCTGATGATAGGTACACGTATGAGCTGGTGATAGACAGGTACACGCGTGAGTTGGCCGGGAAGTGAACGTGATGTCAGGAGGGCAGAGCAGAGCCAAGGCGAGTGCACGAGGAGGGGCCTGTGTGTTCAGGGCGGCCGGGAAGGTCTCTGTGACGGGTGGCCATTGAGCCCAGAGCGTCACTGAAGTGAGGGAGTGAGCCACCTGGGGGACGAGCCCTCCGAAGAGAGACCCTGAGTGAGTGAGGGGACAGAGTGGAAGGGGACAGGTCGTGCAGGGGAGGAGCCAGGCCACGTGCAGGCCTGGGTGGAATTTGGATTTTCTTCTCTGCATCGTGGGAGAGATGAAAATGTCGGAATTCTCATTCTGGAAATTTATCCCAAAGAAACAATAGTCCACAACCATGACTCACAATGGCAGTGAGATGGTAGTAGCTATTCCACCTAGGAACAAAGGGAATGAGCATACTTACCTTCTGGAATACTGCATAGCAGCCACTAAAAACAAGACGTGAAGGCAGGGTAGCAACATGCAAAGGGCCTCGTGAGTCTTAAGTAGATTTACACCATCTGTGCACAGAGGGATGAAAGGACCTAGGGGGTGACACCACGGACATGCTCAGTAGTGACATGTGGGTGACTGCTTTTCTTTTTAAACTTTTCTGCAACAAAACTGTGTGGGCAACACAGACAAGAAGTAGGACAGTCTGGCTCCGGGGAAGAAGGATCCCATTCAGTAGGCTCTCCAAGGGCAAGGATGTCATGGCTGCTAGGGTGGGCCCGTCTCCCCAGGCGGAACTGTCCGCCCAAGTGGGGCCGAGTCTCGTGGGCGAAGACCGTCTCTAAAGAGCACCTCTCCTCTTCCCTCTAGCGCCCTGGAGGCTCTCATCAACTTTGCCTACAACGGCCACCTCGCCATCGACCAGCAGAACGTCCAGTCATTGCTGATGGGGGCGAGCTTCCTGCAGCTGCAGAGCATCAAGGATGCCTGCTGCACGTTCCTCCAAGAACGGTGAGGGCATGGGCCGGCCGGGGGGCAGCGTGACCTTTTCATTTCCAGAGCCCCTGCCAGTTCGCCGAGTCTTCGGGGCACAGAGTGTGGGGAGAAGTGAGCCGGCCGGGCACTCTGCAGAAACGACCTTTCTTAAAATCAGCACCGGGCGGTGCCCAGCCCTTTGGGTTGAACCCGAGGAACATGGTTTACGGCGAGCAGGCCCTGCCTGCTCTCTCCCTGGGCCTGACATGTTCCTCGACTCCTGGCCTCCCTCCCCAAGCTGACCAGCTGCTAATTGAGCCGACCGTTCTCACCGCGCTGGTTTTGTCGGTGCTCCCTGACCGTTCCACAGACGCCGCCTCTGTTCAGCTCCTTCCCTCCTGGACGTCCATCCGTGTTTCCCCTTCGCCTCTTTAACAGCCCACCCAGGTGCCGCCTCCTGGGGCTTTCGGTCCCCTGTGCTCTTTAGGGGAGGACTGGGCTCACCTCTGTCCTACGCCCAACACTTGACAGTGCCCTTCTGATGACTTAGCAGCCCCCCCCAACCCCCCCCCCAGAAGCGGGCAGGGCTCTTAGTCATAAGGTAAAAGCCGCCTTTTACCCACAGGGGCGTGGACATGAGGGTCAGTGCTGGGCTATACACAGGCAGACGAGCTGGCACCGAGCAGTCCTGTGCCTGGTGCCCTCCAGGGCCTGGTCTGTACCTGACAACTCTGACCAGCAGGTTCCCAGCCTGAAGACCAGCCTTCCTCCGCCTCAGCTCTGCCCTCTGAGCCTCCTCCCCCTTAGAGCTGACCTCTCCCTCTCACCTCCACCAACCCAATTCACTAAGCTCTGTGGCCGCCCCTGCTAGCCACACCAGCCGGTGGCGCTCGTGGGCACGGCTGTGTGCAGCTGGTCTTAGTGACCCGGGCAGCGATGCCCAACATGAGGTGCTCTCCTGGGTGCAGTGTGCGGGGGTTCCTGGTGAGGCAGGTGGAGACCCGCAGTCCCAGAGCTTGGCGGGAGCCTGCCCTGGGTGCCTTCTGGGCAGGCTGGAGGGCTGCAGGTCGGGGCTGGGCAGACACTGTCTCTCCTACTCGTTTGTAAGCGGCTTAAGGACGCAGCCTGGATGCAGTTTCTGTCCCCAGGAAAGTGGAGAATGCTGAGTAGGCACCCTGGGAAGGACCAAGTGGCCAGCCTCTCGGGACAACAGCTCCACCTAGGGGCTGTGGCGGGCATCGCCGTCACCCTGGATCCAGGCCGTTACAGAGTAGTGTCCCTGAAATATGCTTAGAACAGTTTTAGACCAGAGCCGCTTTTCGTGCCCCAATTATGTCCTTTATAGCTTCTCTGAGCCTCATTTTCCGCCTGAAAATGACAGCCCTGACTGCTCTGCAGTGTTAAGATTCTGGAGGAAGGACACAGGCCTGGCAGAGCGCTGGGCTCCATGGGGGTAGCTGCCTGGGGCTGTTTCTGGGGGTCTAACCAGTCGGACCCATCGGGCCTCCTCCTGTGTGAACATAGAAGCATGTAAGGTCCTGATGTTGGAGAGCCACTTCTCGGGGCTTAAGCCCTCATTCTACGCCTTCGGTGCCTCCCTGGTGGCCAGGGGTGCCCACTCAACCAGGAACGTTGGCAGCCGAAGGAAAGTGGATGGGTTTCCAGCACCTGATCTCTTCTCTCTCCGAGAGCTGCTTCCCACCCAGAGGCACAGAGACCAGGCCTCGAGCAGAGCCCGAGGAAAAGCCTGCCTTCCGTGGGTATCCACAAGCGAGTCCGAGACAGCTGATGTCTCGTTATTTTTGCCATTTTTTTTCTTATGCAAAAGGCTTCACCCCAAAAACTGCCTGGGTGTGCGCCAGTTTGCGGAGACGATGATGTGCGCTGTGCTGTACGATGCGGCCAACAGCTTCGTCCACCAGCACTTCGTGGAGGTGTCCGTGTCGGAGGAGTTCCTGGGCCTGCCCCTGGAGGACGTGCTGGAGCTGGTGTCTCGCGATGAGCTGAACGTGACGTCCGAGGAGCAGGTCTGTGGCCGGGCAGTGGGCGGCTGCTCTTCCTGGTCTTCCCTTCTTTTTTTAACAAAATGAAGATCGTGTTATGTACACAGTTGTTTATGATGGGTTTGTTGTATTGTATCACGTGCATGTTTCATGAAAACCTTATACCTTTTATTTTAAATATATTTTTATTGGTTTCAGAGAGGGAGAGAGAGAGAGAAACATCAATGATGAGAGAGAATCATTGATTGGCTGCCTCCTGCACATCTCCTACTGGGGATGGAGCCCACAACCCGGGCATGTGCCCTTGGCCAGAATTGAACCCAGGACCCTTCAGTCCGCAGGCTGACCTCTAACCACTGAGCCCAACCAGCCAGGGCCTTTATGTGTTTTAGCATTCCATTGCTTCCTTATTCTCGGAGGTCCGGGTTATTTCCCGTCTTTACTGTTAGAACTCACGGAGAGGAACCGGGAATAGCATAGCTCACTTTCTGAAAGCGTCTTTCTCTAAGCGAGAGTCGAGCCTTGGGGCAGTCGCCAGTGGGAAACAGGAAGTCAAGAGGGGTTTGTTTGGTTCAAATGAGAGGAACGATATGTGCAGTTGGACTGCCGGTGGGAATTCTCCAGAAGAGGGAAGATTGACGGTCGGAGAACAGAGAGAGTGATTGCTGGTGTGATGGCCTAGGGCGGGTGAGAAGGGACGCATCTCAGGACAAGGGGTGAGGCTTTGACAGGAGGCCAGGCCTTCAGGGCCCACCCAGATGCCGGGGCAGGCGGGCGGGAAGGGAGATGCTGGTAATTCCGTGCACATTCGCTTCTGACTTGTTCCAGCTCCTGGGAACCTGGACCTTGAGCCAGACCTTAAGAAAGGGAGCGGGTTGAGATGAAGAGGAGGAGAGGAGGGGCATTCTAGGTGAAGGGGCCGTGTGGGCGGGGAGCCAGCCTGCCTGGGCGGGGGGTTGGGGGAGTAGGTGCAGGAGCGGCAGGAAGGAGGGTGAACAGGGACTTAGTTGCAATACAGAAATGTTCCACTGACAGATTCCCTTAGGGCAGGAGCGACCCAGAAACTGCTGTGTCAGCGGTTCTAACCTTCCTGACGCCGCGGCCCTTTAGTACAGCTCCTCATGTTGTGGTGACCCCCAATTTCATTGTTACACATTGAACATAATTAAAGCACAGTGATGAACCACAAAAACAGTATGTAATTATATATGTGTTTTCCGATGGTCATAGGTGACCCCTGTGAAAGGATCGTTCGGCCCCCAAAGGGGTCGGGACCCACAGGTTGAGAACCGCTGCCCTAGGGCGTCACGGTGAAAGCCGGGAACGGTCATGGTCACCCAGGCTTGTGTTCCGAGATGGAGCCCTATGGGGGAGCAGAGAGAAGACAGTGGCTTCAGGAGACAAGTCGGAACGATGGAACGTCCCAGGGACTGCCCCAGTGCAGGGAGGGCGGGCCTTAGGTCGGGGTGTAGGGGTGTGGCCTCTGACTGGGAAGAGTCGCCACAAGAGCGTCCACTCTGTCTCGGCAGGTCTTTGAAGCCGCGTTGGCCTGGGTCAGGTACGACCGGGAGCAGAGGGGCCCCTGCCTGCCCGAGCTGCTGTCCAATATCCGGCTGCCCCTCTGCCGGCCCCAGTTCCTGTCGGACCGAGTGCAGCAGGAAGACCTGGTGCGATGCTGCCACAAGTGCCGGTGAGCAGGGTGGGGCTGCCCAGGGTCCCCTGCGGGTGGAGGTGGGGGGACCAGGCCTGGAAATGGGAGCGTGGACCCCACTGGGAGGATGCCTGCTGTCCTAGCATCTCACACTCATTCCAGGGACCTGGTGGACGAAGCAAAGGACTATCACCTCATGCCAGAGCGCCGGCCCCACCTGCCAGCTTTCCGAACGCGGCCTCGCTGCTGCACGTCCATCGCTGGGCTCATCTACGCCGTGGGAGGCCTCAACTCAGCAGGTACCTTGCAGCTCCCCCTCGCAGAGCCCCGCCTTGCACCCGAGGGTAAGGGAGCACCGAACAGCCTCGCCTGCCCTCTGGCCCCTCTCTGTTTTATTAAATTGCTCTGCAGTTAAAGCATGTCAGGTGTCGATACCATTGACCAGAATATGGAGCTAAAGAGCCTTTAGGAAGCCTGAGGCCTGGCCCCTTACCTTCCCAGCGGGGAAGCTGAGGCCGAGAACGTCCCCTGCTCACAGTTGGTTTTGGCCGAGCAGGGACTGGATCGTGGGTCCTGACTCCTGAGCCAGCACTCTCTCGGACACCCGCTGGCCGTGGAGGGGCTCAGCCCTCGATAGGACACAGCCAGAGACCCAGCTCCGACCCCAGGCTGACTGATCCCATTTGGTCAAATGGATCCCTGGGGTTCGCCTGCGAGAATGTCACCCAAGAAGGACAGACACGCGGTGTGGGCCACGATCAGCAGTCCTGGTCACTCTTACCGCTCAGGATGACGCACCCACTCTACAGTTCGGGTGCCGGTGGCAGCTCTCGTATCACAGTCGGGGTTTGGGGAATCTCCGTGGGCCGCCCTGCCGCGCCCGGGCTCCTCGCAGGCAGGAGGGATTTAGTCGGGAGGCAGGATACCTGGGTCTGGGCAGTGCAGTGACGGAGTTTGGTCTCCGGTGTGAGGGTCTGGGGAAGGTTGTGGGGGGGGGCAGTCCGGGCAGCTTTATTTTTAACTGAAAGTTCATGAGAGTGGGCAGTAGTCTGTGGCCTCTGAGTTCTCAGCAGTGACCTGTCGTGTGAGAGCTGAGTGCCTGGAGCAGGATAAAGGGGGAGTGGGTGATTTGACCCCCACAAAAGCCTGAGGAAAAGGGGAGGCTGGAGTATCACCCGCTGCCGAGCACTTGGCAGGTGACTGAGGATCACACCCCTCACCTTAGGCCTCTGCCCTCGAGAGCCCCTTCCCCGTGAGCAGAGGACAGGGCCCCAGGCCACTTGCCCAGGGTCCCGGCTAGCGAGGGAACGTGGACGCTGGAGCCCACACCCTCCCCGGGGCCTGCCTCCTGCTTGGGGAACTCTGCATCCACCTGCCTCACTGGGCCTGTGAGCAGGTGGAGCACCCATTCCCTCCCTCGGAAGTAACGCCTCCCATCCGATTCTAATTCCCTCCGAGGCTGAGCTTTGAGGTTATCAGGGCTGGAACTTCTCAGTGGGCCCTTCAAGCGTGAAGAGCCGATAGAGCCACGTTACACACCCCAATAACCAGTGCCCAGCAGCTGTGATGCAAACGAGGGGGGTCATGTGTTTAATGTGAGTAGCAAATTTTTATGCAGGTGATTCCCTGAACGTGGTGGAAGTGTTCGACCCCCTCGCCAATCGCTGGGAGAAGTGCCATCCCATGATGACTGCCCGCAGCCGCGTCGGCGTGGCCGTGGTGAACGGGCTGCTCTATGCCATCGGGGGCTACGACGGCCAGCTGCGCCTGAGCACCGTGGAGGTCTACAACCCAGAGACGGACACGTGGGCCCGGGCGGGGAGCATGAACAGCAAGAGAAGGTACCCATAGGCAGGCACGCGGCATCGGGGGCGCCGTGCTGGGCGAGCAGGCGCACGTGGCAGCATATACCTCAAGCGCGGGCGGGCACTTCCCGCAGCCAGGCCAGCCCGCGTCTCCTCCAGTGGGAGCGGCCCCGTGCCTCGTCCTCCGTCCTCCGAGGGTCTCGGGGAGAGGAGGCACGGACAGGCGGGGGCTGTGTTGTTACTTAGCGCCAGTGAGGCCTGAGGACGTGCTGTGAAGACGGGCTGGACCGGACGCTGGGAGAGGTCAGGGGGGACGGAGGGGACTCGCAGGACAAGGAGTGATCAGAGGAAATCCGAGGGGCTGCCTTTTCCCTTTCTTTCCCCAGGGCCCGGCCAGGCCCGTGCCTTCACTGCCCGGGGAGCATGTGAGCACAGCCATGCTGTCCACCTCAGGGCCACCCAGGCACGAGTGCGGAGGGCTGGGGAGGTAGACAAGCTCGCGCGTCTCACCCGCTGCCCGCCCGCCCACCTTTCCTGCACAGGCAGCGGGACTCAGGGCAGCCAGATCGTGCCGTCTCCCTCCCGTGCCGGGGTGACGGGCGCACCCCTCCTGCCGTCGATCCGCGTGGAGTGTTGGCGGCGGGTGGGGTGGAGCTGGACAGTTCTTGCCTCTCCTGCCCTCGGTGAGGCCACGCGGGACCAGGGGTTTCAGATGACCCGCTGCTTCTCCCAGAGCCGAGAGGAGAGGAAAGCAGTCCCAGGCCCACCGCTCAGCCGACCGCACACGTGTCGCTCTTACACGCCGAGCCCCCTGACCTGCCCGACTTGGGGGGCAGGTTACACAAACGCTCTTCTGAAAGCAGCAGTTTAAGGCCTGGACCGGTTGCTCCTTAAGGGCCTCAGGCTGTGCCTCCCAGGCCGCTTTGTCCGGCCATGCCCGGGCTCTACTTGTAAGACGTGACCACGCCAAGATCACGTGGCTGCATGTGTGTGGGGGAGGGGTCAGCATGAAGTCCTTTGCCACATGAAAGTGTCACGCCATGATGCACAGGTCGCACCTCCATCGGCGTCTGTCAGCCGTGGCCTCGAGCCGGAGGACCTGCCTCTGTACCGGTCAGACCCGATGCACAAGGGGCCACAGCAGGTTCCTGGGGGAAAAGCTGTGTCCCCAAGGCCGCCCCCCAGGCGGTGAGCAGGCTCATGCCCGGTGTTCTTCCCACCGTCACCACCTCCGGCTCCGGCGGCCGTGGGTCCTGGGCAGCTCTGGGGCCTTGAGTGACTCCGCTCGGGGTCCCGGCCGTGGCTGCCTTTTTGCTTCGACTGCAGTCACTTCTCCGGTGTCTGTCGGCGCCGAGCTGCCTCCCGGCTTTCAGGCCACGGGTTGGAGAGTGTCTGGGAGGGAGGGGCGTGGGGTGCGTTTCCGCGCTGCGAGTGCCGTTATTAGCAGTGGACCCAGCTCCGTGCACCCCCTTCAGTCACAGGCTGCCTTTACGTGTGCTCGGTCGCTTCCCTGCTGACATCCCCTCGGCCCCCTGTCCTGCCAATGGTGACAAGCTGCTTCCTGCCGCCATTCCTTCCCTCCCCAGCCGTGCAGGCTGCTTCCGGAGCCTTCTCTCACCGACCAGCCAGCATTTCCCTGATCTCTTTCTCATCTTTGCCGCTGAGCTGGTCCTTCATCTCGCTGGTGTGGCTCCTCCATTTCTCACATTTTTGTTGAACTTCCGTGTGGTGACTTGTGTCCCCTCTAGACAGACAGTGGCAGGTCCAGTGGGTGTGAGACCTTCCCACACCCCTGCCCAAGGCAAGTCCTCTTCCCATTCAGGCTGCTCGGGGGCCTCGTGTGGACGCTCCGATGTGCTGTGCAGTGGAGCCTGGTATTTAACGTTCCGGTTAGACGCCGGGATTTACCGAGAATCTCCTCCAGCTTCGGGTGAACACGGGAGTTGGCAGCTAGGCATTTGTCGCTTACCGAGGCTCCGTGGGGAGCAGATTGCATGGTTACGCCAGGTCCTGGGGTCCTGGGGTGCGTGGTGCTGGCGGAGCTGGCCCTGCGAACAGCACAGAGGAGGCGTGTCTCACTCACGTCTGAGCTCACCTCTCTGGGCAGCTGGGCAGGAGCCGCCGTTGGTGCTGACGATGGTGCTGCTTCCTGGGGGGCGGGGGGACAGGGCCGCGTAGGGCACCTGACACCTGTTCTGATGCGCAGCTGCAGGAGCTGTTCCCTCTCCCCCTGCGGCAGGTCAGGGCCATGCAGGGCCGTGTGTGCGCTGAAAACACGCTTGTCGAACTTGACAGTGAGTTGAATGGGAGGATCCTGGTAACACCAAACACACCAAGGCCTGCACGTACAGGCACCTCACACAACACTGTCGGGTTCCCTGAGGAAGCGTGAGGCCGGAGAGGCATTCTTGCTGAGGGATCAGGTGGCTTTTGAGGAGGAGAGCAAGGAATCTGACCAGGACCCTACAGGTCAGTCAGACTGGAGGGGCATGTGAGACGATCGGCCTGCGGAGTGAGGAGGGCAGGAAACCGCAGTCGGGATGAGAGAGGGGGGAGCTCAGGGCAGCGTCCTCCCTCAGCTCCCACCTTGACTTCCCCGTCCTGGGTTTAGGCTGCTCTCGAGGAGGGTTGGTGGTTGGGTTTATGTCTGGGGCGCGGGAAGGCGTCCGGACGCTGAGGCCCCCTGGGCTGACTGTCTTTCAGCGCCATGGGGACAGTCGTGCTGGACGGGCAGATCTACGTCTGTGGGGGCTACGACGGCACCTCATCCCTCAACTCTGTGGAGACCTACTCACCCGAGACGGACAAGTAAGGACCCGCCCCCGGCACCTGGGCTGGCTGAACCTGGGGGTAAACCAGGGGTGGGCAAACTTTTTGACTGGAGGGCCACAGTGGGTTCTTAAACTGGACCGGAGGGCCAGAACAAAAGCATGAATGGAGTGTTTGTGTGAACTAATATAAATTCAAAGTAAACATCATTACATAAAAGGGTACGGTCTTTTTTTTTTTTTTTTAGTTTTATTCATTTCAAACGGGCCGTAGTTTGCCCACGGCTAGAGCTGCCCGGCCTGTAGCCCTGCAGTGCCTGCGGCCTGTAGGCCCTTAGTGACTTCTGCTTAATGAGGAAGTGAGTGAAAAAGACCCAGGAGACAGCCCACTCAGCCACGATGGTGGAAATGCAGGCGAGAGGATGAGGAGCCGGCGGGCGGCACTCCCGAAGGGGCAGGATGATGGGGGGAATGTAGGAGCGACAGGGTCAGCTGAGCTGGAAACATGGTGTCTGTTCACCTCATCTGTGTACCTCCCGGCCCATCTTGTGGAATTATCAGCCCCAATTTTTTCATTTTGGTATTTGAATTTTCTCATATTATGTAACAACATCAGCACATTAGTAGGATGGATTCATCGGTGCTTTTAAGCCAGCGGTTCTCAACCTGTGCGTCGTGACCCCTTTGGGGGTCGAACGACCCTTTCACAGGGGTCGCCTAAGACCATCAGAAAACACACATATAATTACATATTGTTTTTGTGATTAATCACCATGCTTTAATTATGTTCAATTTGTAACAATGAAATTGGGGGTCACCTCCACATGAGGAACTGTATTAAAGGGTCGCGGCGTTAGGAAGGTTGAGAACCACTGTTTTAAGCCAATACCTCATTCGTTTAATCTGTTACATATCGGAGCAAGCAGGGCGTCTAAGCCTGTTACGGAGCACCGTCTGCTGGGCCCACCGTCGTCCACTCGGGGCCTCGGCTGCGGTCCTGGGTGCAGCGTGGGGAAGGCCTTCCTCCCCTCGGGCGGGGGAGAGGCGGGCTGAGCCATGGTCGATCTGGGGGTGCTCGGGAGACAGGGAGGCAGCAGGAAGGGGTCTCGGGGGGTTAGCCTGCCCGTGGGGCAGGGCACGGAGGCGGCGAAGAGACCAGGACCACGTGGGGAGGAACCACACCAGGCAGCGTGGACTCCGCCTCCAGGAAGCAGGGGGAGCCCCTGGGTGTGCTGCTCAGGGTCCCAGGGGAGAGGCCTGCACGCCAGGCCCCTGTAAGGAGGCTGCTGCAGTGGTTGGGGGGAGGGGGGACTCAGGGTCCCGGGGGAGGGGACAAGCAAGCCCAGGAGCAGACCAGCGGGGAATTGGTTGCCACAGGAACATGGATGAGGGAGAAGAGGCCATAAAGCTGCTGTTCACCAGGACAGCCACTAGGGGGCGGGGCCCACGGGAAAAAAAAAACCGGGGCGGGGGGAGCACAGCACAGAGCCCAAGCCTTCTAAGGCCCCTGGGGGGCAGGGACCCCGATCTCACAGCACCCCTCCTGCTTTGGCTCTTCCTGAAGGTGGACAGTGGTGACCCCGATGAGCTCCAGTCGCAGTGCTGCCGGGGTCACGGTCTTCGAGGGCAGGATATACGTGTCCGGTGGGCACGACGGCCTGCAGATCTTCAACAGCGTGAGTCTGGGCTCTCCTGGGCTGGGCCCTTGCTCCATCCTTGAGAGCGACTGGGAAAGGCAGTTCCCTGGGAACACGCTAGCCTTCCCGCTGCTGGGAGAGGCGTCGCCTAGTGGGGTTTCGGGCCACCCGCAGCCGCTCTCAAGTCCTGAGCACGGGAGGCAGAGTGCGCCCACCCTTCAGTCTCCGTGGAGACCCGCATGCGACCGGTGAGAGCGCTGCCCCAAGTAGGTGGGCTACAGGCAGCACGGCCTTGCAAGCAGCTGTGTGCTTCGGCCCAATTTGTTGGAAATAAAACCTCAGCAGCTGTTCACTGGTGGTTGGTTCCGAGGCCCCTCAGTGCTGGCCGGGTTCAGGGGACCCGCCGCATCCGCTGTCACTCGCCCGCAGAGCAGCCCTAAATGCAGGCGGAAGGTCGGTCTGGGCCGGTGATGGCGAACCTTCTGAGCTCGGTGTGTCAGCATTTTGAAAAACCCTAACTTCACTCTGGTGCCGTGTCACATACAGAAATTTTTTGCTATTTGCAACCATAGTAAAACAAAGACTTATATTTTTGATATTTATTTTATATATTTAAATGCCATTTAACAAAGAAAAATCAACCAAAAAAATGAGTTCGCGCGTCACCTCTGACACGTGTGTCATAGGTTCGCCATCACTGATCTAGGCTCTGCCTTGTCCCTGAAAACCCAGGGGCAGGGGTGCCACTGAGGAGACGGCGTCAGAGCCAGGCAGCGCTGCAGGGCTCTCCGTCCCTGGGCTCTTCCCCCCCCC